CTACGCAGTCCTTTTTTAACCAGCAGAGGGCATCATTGTCTCTGGCCAGCCAGTATGATTTGGAGGGAGCCATCAAAAACAAAAATATTCAGGGCCACAGTAGACTGGGTCAGGCCATTGGAATTATTTCTGGCTCAGCTGTGGCACAGGTAGCCTCTGTCGGGATAAGCCCAGATATGACACTCATTTATGATGAGTTCCTTCAACAGCATCGAAGACCTGTCAGTAAACTAGACCTAGAGGAGAAGAGAAGAAGGGAGGCTAGGGAGAAAGGTTAGTGATTACTCTTGTTATTATCACATATTTATTTTGTAATCAATGGTTGATTGTTCGTAGTAACCTCTTTGTGTGCTCTTAAATCTTGAATCTTGCTTCATGCTTCAGGTTATTACTATGATCTAGATGATTCATATGATGAGAGTGATGAAGAGGAGGTCCGAGCCCATCTCCGCAGAGTGGCAGAGCAGCCGCCTCTCAAACTGGATGATTCCAATGAGGTGAAATACCCTTTATCTCTTTATTTGTGTTATATTATGTTCTTTGACTCACCACACGTTGTTCTATCTTTGAATAGAAACTGGACTTCTTGGGAGTAGTTGGACTGACTACAGTCATCCGCAGGGATGAGGTTGTACAGCAGAAGAGAAGGAAGCGAAGGCGAATGCTGAGAGAGCGCAGTCCTTCACCTGTGTCACAGCTCAAACGCACCCCCCCTCCTCCGTACCTCAGTACCCGCTTCACTCCCGAGGAGATGGACCAGGCGCCAGAGCTAGAGGACAAGAAGAGATTTCTCAACATCTTCAGACTATCACATGTGACTGTGCAGCAACGGTTAGGTAAAGAGAGAATGTGTTTGTGTTGTGGCTTTGATTTTACTCATCTTTTCAGATAATTTTGGAAGTCCTTAATTGATGCTTTTGTTGCAGTTGTATAATGATCAGACAGTTTCAAACAGATCAAACAGGAACAGTTGTTCCTTATTTTCCAAAAAACAGTTTGATGAATTTTGGATTTTAAGAGTCAGTGGGGTTATTGTTTTCTGTGGCAATGACAGTAAAGTCTTAAAAGCCAGTATGCGCAGTTATTATATTGTTTATATAGGGCTCACACTAAAAACATAGCAAACTAATCATTGATTACCCTTTTTATTTCTTTCTTGTCTTCCAGATAATGAAAGGGTGACAGAGCTCCTTCAGGCTATTAAAGAAAAGAGCATAACATTGGATAACATCAGACATGCTTCTCATCCACTCTGCAAAAGCCCTTCAACGCAGATCTCCGGTGAGACCAGCTAATAACCATAAACAAGCTTTTATTTTTACTCATATTTCAAAACAACTGAGGCATTTCAACTAACTGCTGTTAAATGATTACAGACTCCCAGCCTCCCTCTGAATCAGAAGAACACGTCAGTGTCAGACCACATAGTCCCACCGTGCACTGCCCAGCATCCCCCAGTAGTTATTCTAAACCTCATTGTGACACATTAAGACCAAAGGAACCCCCATCCTCTGCTGTCTACCCAGATAAGTCCCGGGGGTGTGGTGAGGGACACATTGCAAAGAAGAACTCTAGTCTATTGCACAGCTTGCGGCCCACTCTGCCTGTGCAGGCTAAAGAAGGCCTTCACAGCATTAATGGTCGCACCAAGCCCTGGGACAGTTTCACACCTGAAGAATTTGCCCAACAGTTTCACGAATCAGTACTTCAGTCGACCCAGAAGGCTCTGCAGAAACATAAAGGTATATTATACAGATGAAAATGAGAATATTGTAGTTTAAAATGTCCGTGATAACATTGACAATTCTATTCTATTATGAACTATATGATGTTCTGACTGAATGCACATTTTACCTTTAGGTACAGGCTCAGGTTCAACAGAGTCATCCCATCTCTTGGAGACATCAGTCCATTACAACATTCCTGAGCTGCAGAGCACCCCAGGTCGACCAGCACAATCTCACACAAACTCCATTTCCCGTGCTGTTACACACTCTCAACCAAATGGGCAGCACTTCTCTGGAACAATACACCGAGAAACCTCAGGGAGAAGGGAGGACATGTCTGGTCCAGAGGATTCGGAGGAAGAAGATGATGATGAAGATGAGCAACCTACTTCTAAGTGGCAGGGGATAGAGTCTATTTTTGAAGCATATCAAGAATATGCTGAAGGTAAATTATGTGTATTTCATTAAACTCTCATTGTAGTGCACACACAGTGGACATGTTTTTCAGACTGACTTTTTATCTTTTTAGAGCAAAATTTGGAGCGTCAAATATTGGAAAGCCAGTGTCGGAGATTAGAAGCTCAGAACTACAACTTGAGTCTCACTGCTGAGCAGTTGTCCCACAGTATGGGGGTATGAATTACTCTGTTGTTGTTGTTGTAATAATATAAAAATGCTTCTGTTTTTCTTTTTATTTGTTTGATCATAATGATAATATACTGTTTTTTTCATGCTGTTTCTATTCAGGAGCTTGTGTCTCAGAGACAGAGGCTAGCAGCAGAAAGAGAGAAGCTGCAAGCAGAATTGGAACATTTCAGAAAGTGTTTGACACTACCACAGACACAATGGCCCAGAGGCAGTCATTACAAGGGTTACCCTCCCAGGTGACCCCCACAAGTGCCCAGGCCCTTGCCGCCTCCACTTTGAGACTCAGAGTTCTATTTTTATTGACTTGTGGCGTTCTGGAAGAGATTGTTGATTTTGATACGAATGATTCAACGTATAAGTGAGGCCATACACTGAAGGACAGTCTCTGATTTGTGGCCTGGTTGGACTTGTGCCACAAGCCACACAAATGTGTGCCAATGTAGCCAATCATAAATATAGGGGTAGGAGTGCCTAAAGAACAACATCCTTCAATCCATGTATTTGAGGCACCTGACGTGCTTTTTTTGGCCAGCCCCTTGTTGCCACGCTTCACAGACAATCCTGCCAATAAGGGAGCAGCTACTCCTCAATGCGTGTGTTCAAGAAACTCAGACACAATAAACAAATGCTTCTGGCCCATTAGAGCCAACTTCATCATAGTGGCCATTTGAGCTTTTGAACTGGAAATGCACTTATAATGAAAAGCTGAAGAACTACCTGGTGGTACTGTGTTACAAGAACTCTTGAAACTAGGGAAGAATTTAAAAACTGCACATTTTTGAAAGACTTAATGAAAATGTTTTATTTGAAAAGATAAAATTTGAAAATAAGAATTTTAAAAGGTGCTTCAGCCTTGACATGTATATAATATGAAGAAAGAATTTTGTATGTTTTTATTATTACTTTAATCCTTGTTTTAAAAGAAAAAGCCTGCCATTTTTATATGTTTATGCTTTTGGGTTAAAAAGAAAGCCTTGCTTTTAGTGTTTATACTGCTGCTGGCCAGAACAGCTGATTTTAGATTTTAAACAGAGTGAGAGAAAACAGGATCTGCTGCTTGTTTTACTCGTTTCACGACCACAGCCACAAACATTTCATCTGGTCCCAAATTGAGCAAAGCTCAATCTCACTCAGATGCTCCAAGTTATGGCTCCTGTCCTTTGCCTTTGTTTACAGCAGCACGTCTGTCAAATGTCCATCACATTTAGATTGTTTACTTGACTCTTAAAAATCAGACATGAAGAGGATCCAGCTGACATCCCCACTCTTCATTTATTCATTTATTTTTTAACACTTCTAGATTTATGAAACATTATAGCAATTAATGTTATGCCTTACTAGATCATGTTCTTATCACCAGCCATGTGCCAAATTATGTCTATAATTTGTGATTAGGTAGCCAGAAATACCCAGAATTGCCATTTTATAGTACTAAACAAATCCATATCATTCCTTGGTTTTGAACCTATTTTGTTGCATACATAAATCAGTGGTCTCCTTATCAACAAATGGAGGCAGTAAAAAACATGAACACAAACAAATGTAAAGCTGCATTGAAGTGTTGTGACAAACAAGAGGAATTTTCCAGAGTCCAAGATGCACTGATTATGGTCAATGTAGAGTATGTTATAGTTTATATTAAATGGAAAATGACACAGACTGTAGTTCAATACTCAACACAAAGAATACAATAGTTTTAAGTGCCTCCAGAATTTAGGAGCTTGTGAAGGTGTTTGCTTTTATCACTGCTGTGGTCATCAGGGACTCAATTTGTTGTTCTGTGTTATACAGTATACTACACGTGTCCATTCTTTCACATCCTTCATTTGTGTGCTTTTTAAACTTTCAAATTCAACACTTTCAATCACAAGATTATAGCCAATATTATGAATTGGCCTATGTAGTTACATGCATGCAAGACGTAAGCTGCCATGATGAGGAAAATGTCCTTTTAGGAGCCTAACTATATCTTCTGTCCATGCACACCATGCAATAGCCCCATGATTCAGCGGAGGATGTCTAGATGCTGTGAAATCCTGTTTTGAAAATGTACTTGTTTGAATTCATTGTAATGTAATATATTCTTTGTTGAATGTAGTAATTAGGTATTTATGAATATATGACTGTGATTTCAGACAAAAAATAAAATATTTAAAAAATGTGTACCTTGCAAGTGTTGTATTTACCACAATAAAACACAGGTTGAGAAGGGTGGACTTGAAATTTTTGGGACATACATACAATTCCAAGCACAGCACCAGGGCATTACCAGCATCCTACTTTTTAAATTCACTAAGAAAAGCATTTTTTCCCCAATGCTATTGTCCTTCGCTTGTACAAGTGACTCATAAAAGTATCTTGACAAATGTTTGTTCAGCAACTGTCTGGAAAGAGTGAAGTGCGCTCAGAGTATTATAAACCCTCAACTGCACCGTGGGCGCATCTCATTTCACAGGGAGGAGAGAGGAGTGGAGAAGAGAAGCAAGAAATACATGCCGAGGATGAATGGGACAGTTTTTCCTCAGGTGCTGGTTCTGACAAAAATGACCTTAGAATGAAGACTATACTAAAGATTATTTCAGATTATTATTCCAGAAATTTTAACTCAAAGTAAGACAACATATCTATATTCAGGCAAATGTGTTGTAACATTTTTATTAGTTTAAATGTCAAATTCAGGATTTCGTAACATGTCAAAAATGCTTTGCTGCTGTACTTGTGTAATTGCAACAATACAAAAACCTCACTGTGAGACAATTATTTGAACTGATGTCTGCCTCTTGAACCCTCACTCCGATTTACATTGTGGTTTGCTTCCCTCGCCTCCTCTGAACTTTGGGACACCACTTAAAATGGCACATTGGATCAACAGCTGAAAAATAGAGGATCGAGGAGAGAAATCGAGAAGGAAGCAAGGAAAGAGAAATGAGATGTGCTCTATGTTGACATTTATGGGACAATATGGCTTCATATGAAAAAATCATGCAGCTCATCCACTGCAGCATGAACTGGGAGGCAAAATAGAGCATTTAAAAGGTACTTTAACTCTATTGGATGGTGTTAAGTCCTGTTCACCAGTTGAAGAAATTAAAGCCTGTTTACTGTGCCAAGTATTGAAATATATTTCTGATGACCTTCATTTTATTGACAATATATTCTGGCTCTAAACATGCCTGAGTGTCACCTAGGAACCACAGTGAAATGGTTTGTACATTTTGTTGCACAATGATGGCAAAAGCATTGATTTAATTTAATGAAACTAAGAGTCTGAAGTTGTTAAACGTTTATATAATACAAACATTTTATCACATACGTTTTCTATTAAAAGGGTCAGTCCATATGAAATCAGCTGCCCTCCCCTATGAGCCTTCTCAGATTTGGCTGAGAGAAAAAAATTTAAAAATCTAAAATTACCAAATGAAACAATCTCAAATTTTAGCTCAATCCCTTGAGTCGTTCCTGAGTTATGGCTCATTGAAATTTTGGGGCCATGCTCACTTTTTCTGAAGCCTTAATTTATAAGCATGTTTGAGAGACCATAACTCCATAAAAAAATAGAGCTAGGAAGCTGAAAATGTGTATTATTGTAGATTCTTGGTAATAGATTATGAATCTGTTGCCCCATAATAAAGATACCCAATACTTGACAATAGACCAAAGAACCTACAATAATACAGTTTCATTTTTTATGAAGTTATGGTCTCTCAAAAATGCTTTTAAATTAAGGCGAGCATGGCCCCAAAATTTCAAGGGGCCATAACTCAGGAACGACTCAAGGGATTGAGCTGAGATTCTTTTTTTTTTTTGGTGATTTTAGATTTTATTTTTTATTTTATTTTTCCAGCCAAATCCGAGATGGCTCATAGGGGAGATTCCTTGAAAATGGCTGATTTCATACGGACTGACCCTAAAATTAGCACACAACTATCAATAGTCATTGAACTGTCCTTTAGTTGAGTCAGGCTGGAGATTGGAGCGTAGTTTATACATGCAGTTCAAAGAGTCAAGAAGAAATGCTCGGATGGTATTGATTTCCATTAAGGTCAGGTTGTCAAGCTACAAAAAATAAATACAGTGTAAAAATACATAATTATTATATTCTTGATCTTCATTTAATATCTCCGCGTATTTGCATTAACGGCATTTATTTTATAATATTGTGCCTGTTTTAATAGTGAGCTCAAGCTGTCAAATGAAATGGGCACAAATGGTATTTTCATACCTTGGCATGAGCCTCCTGCTGATTGATGAAGCTGTCTGCAGAGAGGCGCAGTTTGGCAATACGGGTATCCCAAATATCCTTTACTAAAGTGCGAATTTCATCAGCCTTTGGAATGTTGTCTGATGCACTTAAAATGGGAAACACACACAAACAATTGTTAACTTAATAAGAGATATCAGTGGCCTACAGATTAACAATGATTATTAATGCTGACTGTATTATGCATTGCGTGTGCAGTATATCTTACTGATTTAGCAGCAGTTTTGTCAACTCCATATAGTATGGGCTAGGAACAGGTGTAAATGTATCTTCTTTTCTTTCAAGTTCGCGCATTTCCTCCAGTTTGTCTACACAAAAAATACTGTTGGTTATATGGCAGTAGTAATGTTACATTTGGTAAAATCATGATCTAACTTACCAACATCCATCCATTCAGGGGGTACAATGCTGCATTTCTGACGCTGTTTAAATTAAGAGCCAACCACACAGGAACATTAACGGGAAGCCCAGGGTTAAAGGGACCTAGATCTCCCTGAAACATGACATTGAAACACAATATAAAAACAGACATATATCTATATTGATAACTCCATGCTAATCTACCCAACTGAAGACGCATAACGTTAACTTACCCCGATTAAATATATTTTGTCTAGACTGAAATTCGGTATTATTTGAATCACTTCCTTCTCCGCTATAAACTCTACTTCAGATGCGTTCATATTATGAACTGATAAGAAATCTCAACTCTATCCTTTATGTCTCAAAACAACTATTTCCCGCGTACTGCCATGCGGAAAACCAAGATTTCGCAGGTCTCGAGCGCGTTCTCGCGAGACGTAAACGTAAGTTCCATACACATGCACATTATATAAATCCATGCCAAATATATGATGTGCACATTATGTTATTTTAATAGAGCCATGGATGTACACGAGTGAATGTAATATGAAGGGTAAAAAAATGTCACTGCAGGTAAAACTGGATCATTTCTACATACATGGATTAGGAAGTGAATGAAAAGCAGTTGCGGGTACAATCCACTGTGTGGAGATGTTTATCAATTTACGAAAAATATACCTGGATTTTTTGAATGTTTTGTTTCGTTTTATCGTCAGTTGGTTAATAAACGAATTACTCAGTCAGTCTTTCTCAAAATATTAAAGTTTATTTATGAAGGAAAGCTCAAACCAAGCAGCACATCAAACATGAAAATAAAAATGTTCTAATTTTCTGTATTTGCCAGTTTATTAGCATCATCCCCCCACCACCCACTGGTACAGTAAAAACAGTTTAAATCGTACTGTCTAAAGAAATAAAATGCATCCCTTTAAAACGGCAGTCCCTAAACTATAATAAAAGAAAAGCCATTGAATCCATGCCAATGCCTAAAATAGGCACAACCTTGGAAGCAGAAACCATTACACTTTTTAAACATACTGAATATATATTAATAAAAGGTAATTTTGTTTTTATGATTTAAAATCTAATTTTAGGCACATAACTACAAATTGTCACAAACATTTGCATTAAAAACCTTAGTCTAGTCTTACCTAAATATTAGTCTCAAAATGTGCCAATTGTACACTATTGTGCTTGCCCTTTGAGGTTTGGCTCATTTTTCCTCAAGTATCAACAGGAAACCCCCTTGATAAAACAAAGACTAGCCCAAGCTTTCTGCACTTCTCTCCCTTATACAAATAGTGCATGCTAAAATGGCACCAATAAATCTTGGTCTAAGGTTATCGAGAAAGCTGGCATAACAAAGCACTAGTTAGCAGAGATCCAAGACCGACTTGTTGATCACAGGATTGGTCCAATCATTTCGCAGATCATCCAAGTGATTGTCAAAGTCAATAAGATTTTCATAGCATCGGCTCTCTAGAAGAGCTGATGTAATCTTCTGTGCTTCGTGCCAGTCTTCAAATGAGTCACTGATAAATAAAATATTTTTAAAAAGTAAAATATGTTAGGGACAAACAATAGATAACTGTGCATGTATAATCATATTCTGGTTGGTTGCATGACATGTTATTTAAATGATTTTAGCTGAACTAACTGTAGACTCTTTCAATAGTAAGTACACTTCTCTCTGATAATCTGAAGAGAACCAGAAAACTTACGCTGTAACATCTCTGCTTTTCCATTTGTTTTCATGATGATCATAGATAATAACTATAGGCTCAAAGCAACTCACTGTTAATCTACTGTTATCCACCTGAAACAGTCAAAGGCATAGACAAATTAATGTCATTTAATGGAGAATTAAAATGAAAATTTGCTTAAACCTGTGTTAGAAGCTATATGCCCACATACCATAATGATTGCAGCTTCACTAAAGTTGTCAGAAATCCTGGAAGCTACTTTTTCAGCAAACTGATTAAGTCTGCAATCAGAACCACATATTTATATTATAAAAATAAAAAACGCTATTTTATCCAACTATATTCAGACAGCTGTTCAGACAGCAAATATGTACCTTGAATCCTTTGAGCGTTGATTTGCTTGATAATATCCAGAGATAACATAGTTATTCTCTTTGCACCAAGTGTCAATCTGTAATAAAAGCATATACAATAATTACAATAGATACTCCTTTGATATCATTTATTTTTTAAAATGTTCTGTGAAGTAAAGCATGCACTGATTAATCTACATTCTGTGTATTTCAGCTGTTCTGTACAATGCATGCTTACTGCAGATATACTGTACCTCCATAAATAAAATAATTTAGAATATAAATAAAAACACGTGTCCGTGCATGTTTGGTATAGAAATGCTCTTACCAGTGTCAAAGCGACTTCAAGCATTGGTGCCAAAGCCAGAGTACCATGGAACAGTGGAACACAGTCTACGCATAGAGCTATGTGATTCTGACTGTCTTTCTTTTTGTCTTTCGGCTTTTCAGCGACTAGTAGCCCATTTACGGCACAATGAGGATACTTAGCAGCATGTAAAAGCATTTTACAGTAAGCCTGACTCGTCAGCTGAATAGGCATATTTAGAGCCGACAATGACAGAATTAATAAAAATACAAATTACACGAGTTGCTGTTACGTACTATTGAGCCACACTCTGCTAGCATTAGCTAACAACCCATGTGAAGTGCACAAAAGTAGCTTTCAACTCATGCTAACCCTCAAACTAACTCGTCGAAGATAATTTCAATGGATGCAAGCACACGCGGACTGGACATAGAAAGGCCAGTTTAACGAAATGAATTAGTGAATAAGATATAATCGAGCCATACGAGCTAATCTTAAATCCCCCTTCCACTTGTTTCACCGGTGTGCCGTAAACTAAAACAAAGTGACGTGAAACGTGCCGTCCTCGTTGTCTCTTCCGGCCGCAGCTCCGCCGATTTCCTTTCACACTCAGGAGCGACGGGCGAACAAGATAAAGTAGGTTGCATTTTTGTTAAACTTTTCTGTTGGCTATAGTATCGTATATAACCTTTCAGACGCAGTGGCGGTACAGCTGTTGTATAACATATATTCTACAACAAGAGTATTCCCTCGAAATACATTTCATATAGATGACTTTGTCAATGCCCGCAGTTGTTCCGAGATGCTAAATTGTATGCTACTATTAGCAAAGGATCGCTGACGTTTTGATATACACACAAACATTAAATCCTCTCTAAAGATACAGTGCCCGTTTTTGTCTGTGTAATGTTTAAGGTTGAACAGTCCTGCCTTACATATAAGTCTCTCTGGTTCTTTATTGACTGAGGGAACATCTTTGTCGCACACATGACCTTGTGTTGGCACCAAACTAGCATTAGCTTAGCTTAGCCAATCGATATATGGTAGAAGTAACGTTAAAAGACACAAATTCCACATAAAAAGTTTCTGAAAATGTCTGTAAACCACATTAAAATAATCATATTTAGCCATGGTGTTGCAGTGTTGTAGTAGTGTTTATGGGTGCATACAGTTGTACATATTGTATTATTCTTCATTGTGATATCTGTTTTTATTCCCAGAATGCTGGCATCCAGAGCTCTTAGCCTCGTCAGCAAACGTGCTATTTCAACCTCTGTCTGTCTACGTGGGGGACATGGTAAGAGTACAACCACAAAGGCACATTTATAGTTTTTGTTTGAAATAATTGTTTGAATTTAACCTCACTAATCTATATTATTATTTCCTGCAGGTGTTGCTAAGGTTGAGGACTATACACTCCCTGTCTACTTTGACAGGCGTGAGAATCCTCTTCCAGATATCAGCTATGTGCAGACACTAAGTCCAGAGCAGATATCTCTCAAAGAGAAGGAGAAGGGCTCATGGGTATCCCTATCCAATGAAGAGAAAGTTGCATGTAAGAGACAGGATATACAGTATTAAATGTTGGCACAGATTTTTTAAATCCAGACGAAGCAATGGCGGACAACCACAGAACATCATTGAAATTATGACAGAGGTTCTAACTGTCCCTATTACAACAAAATACAGTATTCAATATTACAGTGATGACACTATAATCATTTGTAGCCAGTTAATTCCATTTGTGAGTGTTTAATCAAAGTTACATTGTTATAAATACCTTTATATGGTGGATTATGGTTAAGGTAGCAAACCTTTAGTAAATCTATTAAATGAAGTAAGATGTCACTTGAACAGACATTGCCTTTGAAACTAAGTCAGCCAATAACTCATTCTATAAAATGTATCTCACATCATATTGTCTTGTTCAGTTATTTCAATATTGCATAAGGTGAAATTTAATGTATAATGGTTTCTTCTGTTCAGTGTACCGGATCAGCTTTAAGCAGAGTTTTGCTGAGATGAATCAAGGGTCATCTGAATGGAAGTCTGTGTTTGGAGGAGTGCTGTTTTTTGTCGGTTTCACTGGCCTGGTTGTGCTGTGGCAGCGAAAATATGGTGAATAATATAAATAGAAGAGAAATTATTTTTGTATATGGACATTAATTGTTAATGTTTTTCTTCCCCATAGTGTATGGGCCAGTCCCATCCACATTTGATGATGAATTTAAAGGAAAAGAGTTGCAGCGGATGCTGGATATGAGAATCAACCCAGTGGAGGGCTTTTCAGCCAAGTGGGACTATGAAAATAAGCAGTGGAAAAAGTAAACAACCAAGAGGACCATTGTACTTACTTTACTTGAAGACCATAAAAGATAGTCAGGAAAACTTTTACTTCTGTATTTATCAATTGTTCAAATTACCTCAGTTGTACATTTTGGAAGACCACTTCCTCTTAAGGTCACTGTATTATATTGAGAAATAAAACTAAAGTTAAAAGCCTTGCCTCTTTTTTTTTTTTTTAGGTTTTAAGTTTTAAAGCAGTCTTAACCAAATTAAAATTGTATATGGCCAAAATATGAGAATTTGATCATAACTGGCCTTGTCTAGGGGCGGGAGTTATTCTGGCCATCATCTATTTGAATTGTGCTCATTTTTAATCCAGTAATTAGACTTGGTTTAGCAGTGAGAGTGTTTTGGGTTAGTGCTTTCCTGTACGGTGTGTGTGTGATCAGCGGTAAACTGGAGCGTAAAGGCCCTCTGAAGGTTAAACGAGGCACAGCAGCCGTGATGTCACTTACCGGATGAGCCTGCTGTTGCAGTTGTTTCACGTCAAAACAATCCGGAAGACGATAACCTACAGCATGAAGGAATGGTCTGCACGTATTTGCTATTATACGGCGATACCGAAGTTTTAATTTCTATGTAATAATGCAAGCTAACTATGACAATAGCTCAAATGGTTAGTCTTTAATAAGTCATTCAATTTGTTGCATCCGAAGTCCACACCTTAGCACAGGCTACCTCTGTCCTCAGATCAGTGCTGTAGCTTATTGCGCTCAATTTGTAGTCATTATGGGGAATGGGATGAACAAGGTAAGAATCTCAACTAAGTGTGAAATATTTCCATTAACGATGTTACTTTATGCTACTGCTGACGTCATGTTTTAGGCTCAAATTTGAACTTTGAATCTGTAGGATACTGTATTATGAAACAACTATGTCCTCTGATGGTAGTAATACAAATGACTGAGACGTTGTCTATCAGGACTCTTAGTACATTGTGAATTTGCTGCATTTCTATTATTTATTTTTATTTATACTATCAAAGAGGCTGTTTTGCAGGTGCTAAAATCTAAATACCATAACCTAGTGAAATAGACTAGAGCAGACATGTCAAAGTCAGGCCTGGGGGCCAAATTTGGCCCGCGATATAATTATATTTGGCCCACGAGATCATATCAAATATGTATTAGAGCTGGCCTGCCGGCTACATATAATTTATATCTTTATAGCCTATTTAAAAAAAAGTTATTATTTTATATTGTGCTTGTTCTGGAGTTAGTGTTTAAGCAAAACTATTATTAAACATTTATTTTAATAATAAAAAATAAAAAAAAAGGTTTAACATTATATATATCTCGAAAGAAGAGAAAATATGCAGATGTTGTCAAAATGTTTCAATAAATATTTAGTTTGGCCCACGATTTAGTCCCAGTTTTTAATTTTGGCCCTCTGTGACTTTGAATTTGACACCCCTGGACTAGAGAAATTAATGTCCAATGTCTTTAATTATTGCAAGTTTTTCCATCATTGCAAGTGTTTCCAGGAAACATAGGGGAACAGTGAAGTGATGGCTTCCAAGAGCACCCTTGGTTTTCTTCTTAAAGGTTTTAATTTGTTTCAGATCAGGGTAATATGGTACAAAGGAAATATGTTTCTTTTCTAGAGGTGTGCCTGATCTGGCAGGGGTGTTATAATATAGACAGTATTCTCTGATCACTATTGTAATCCCTCTCCATCTCTGATGAGATCATAGAGGTTGTGAGTAGCTCCAAGTATTTAGGAATGTACATTACTAAATTTAAACCGGAGACTTTATGAGTATATCAGGAGCTCAGACAAGATCTTATTTTAGGATTTTTACATATAAATAATATACTTATAACTATACATATAATATTTAATTACATACACTTCATTTAACTCCTCGATTACTCCATAAACATTGAAGGAATGAAAATGTAAACCCAGTTTCTTTCTGTAACTTTTAATCTTGTTACAGTGTTGGTCTATCTAACAAAGCCTTAGTGCTCCAGACCTTGTATGGTGGTTTCCTTTTTGCTGCTACTTAAGACTTAATCCCTAAATCCCAATCTGGCTGCATTGGCTTCAGTCATTTGTTCCTTTCTGGAGACGCCAGTTTCCCTGAGCTAATGTCTTTTCAAAACACATTATGTCTGTTGTTTCACAGGTTGTTGATGGGCTCTTCCTTGGTAACATAAGAGGTGAGTTAATCTCTTTACTGTAAAATTATTTATGTTTGTTACATAAAAAGTTTTATATTTTGAACTTTAGTTTATAAAGGACTAGGTTAGGGACATTGTCAAATATTACTGTTAAAACTGTAATCTGTGCAAAACATTTTAATAAAAGTTCTGAACGTAACTTTACACTTGTTACTTTTATAGATTCAGAGGACAGAGAAAGTCTGTCAAAAAACGGAATCACACACATTTTGTCTGTGCACAACAATGCCAAGCCTGTGTATGAGGTAAGTTTCCAACAGTTTTAGTATTCTGTCTGAGAAATACTTTAGTCTCAGTAACAGTGTTGTCCACATGGGGGTGGTAACATACTACAGTTGAGATATTGAATGCATAGTCAAGTACTGGGTTGGAGCAGTGATGTGGCATTAAAGTACAGAGAAAACTAAACCACCTGTTTACGTTCCTTGTGTCCATCTTAATTTAAATATCATTGCTTATGCACTGTTTTTAGGATATGACCTACCTTTGTATTCATGCAGATGATGCCGCCAGTCAAAACTTGTGAGTGAATTTTTTTTCTGTTATTATTATCAGATGTAAGACTGTGAACTGACCATTGATAAAAGCCAGGACTAGTAATGAGGTGATGATTAAGGTATAATGCTGTAAAATGGCAATATCAATGTCATGTGGATGGGCTTCATGGTGGTATTGACAGCGCATTTATTTGACTGGGTTTGTAGAAAAAGCAGCACATATCACAGCCTTCAGTTCATGAATAAATTTTTTGGTCAACATATACCTGTCATGCCACAGGGGTAAATACGCAGAAAGGAATATTTTGATGTCTTGTTTTATTTCAGGTTTCTTATGGCAACTGTGTTTCCCCAAAACTCTGCACAGCAATGTAGTGCATAAAAAAGGAGCAATATATCATATACATGTACTTTTTTTTTTTTTTTTCAATTAAAGAGGTCCCTTTACTTACTTATTATATCATCCAATCCTTAGTGTGGACTAAGTAAAGAAAAATAAAACTGAAAGGTGTTTGGCTCCATTAAAATATGCATGGCATCCTCAGTAAACTTTCTCACCTATTTAGGTAATCATTGTCATTCAAGTCGGTAAGCTTTCTGCCACTTTAGATGCGTTAGATGTCTCTGCATAAAATTTAGAGAAAGTATTACAAATTCCAAAGATAGTGAAAAAAATTGTATAGGGGTTAGTGATAAACTAACAAATGTAGATCTTCACTTTACACTTGAATCCTTATTTTACATTTCATAATTAAGATACAGTTATGTGCTGCTTTTACAACACATGCCCTTTGAAGACAATTGACAGAGAATCAAAGTGAGACATTGCCCATTGATCTGGGATGGAGGTGTCTGACCTCTTGTTGCAATCAAGTGTCCTTCCCTTAGGCAGCAGAGGAAGGAAACCACAGGGTGACATCTGGCTGTTGGCCCGACCACCCTGAGTTTAATACACCCTTCTGTCACAATCACTGGTCTGACTAATGAGGCTAACTGTCAACCCACTACAGGCCTGCCTGACTTGAGCCGCAATGATAAGGATACATAAGCTTTGTTAACTACTATTGCCCCAAAGTTTGTTGTCTTTGTGCTGTACATGGACAAACAAAAGCATACTACCAAAAATAGTAGGCTGACCAGGGATTAACTGAAGGGAATTCATTTGCAGATGAGTGTAAGTTTGTAAAAATCAAAATGAAAAACTGAGCCAAATAACCACTTAGGATTGCTTGTCAACATTCCGCTTGTTGAAAACCCAAAACATTGTCACAAGGATTATTTTCTGCATATTAAACAAGACAGCCGGAAACCTCTGCTGCTTGGAAGACAGAACAAACTGCTGATGAGACATGTTTTTGAGAAAAGAGGTTGAATCTCAGGAAGACAGAAAAAGGAAAGCATTGGTCAGTCTATTTTAGCCCATAGTCTGTTAATCTGTCTGCTATTGAGAAACCAACATCTGCTCCATGGTTATCTGCTTTGTGTGGCTTGATTATGCAAAGGACCATCCATGTTTCCTGTCTGAGCAAGTGCCATTCACATCCACTGTGTCTGATGGCACATTGTTTATGTCCAAATTGTCACCTTCACCATTGCGTTATATGACAACAGTAAATAATATAAGAGCAAATATTTTCATATTATGTGCATTGTGACCTTTACTACTGAATTAATTAGAAACCGTTTTATGTTTAATACAGTAAGAAAGTATTGTATTTTCAGATTACAACATTTTAAAGATTCCATTGGCTTCATCCATGAGTGCCGTTTAAATGGAGGCGCATGTTTGGTTCACTGGTAGGTAATGATCATTTATTTAAGCCTAGAGCCTGCCTTGTGATCCTGTTCACTGTATGTTATTATATTGTGACAGTCTTGCAGGAGTATCTCGAAGCACTACGATGGTGGTGGCCTACCTAATGACAGTCACAAAGTTTAACTGGGAGGAATGCCTGTCTGCCATTAAAGCTGTTCGTTCATTTGTGGGTCCCAACTATGGCTTCCAGCAGCAGCTACAAGAATATCAATCAACTCTAGTTTCAGAGGTAAAGAAAACACTGACGCAAAGTAATTATCTTATTAGTTTGGGAAATGTTCTGCAAAACTTCAGTACTAGATTATTCACTTCACCTTTCAGTGTGGAAGATAATTGCTGGAAAGACCCAATGTAAACAAGCAGCTTGACTAGCCTGACTAACTGTTCTCTATTTTATACAAAACATTGCCATGTCAACACATATGAAGAAGATGGATTTACCATAGAACTAGCATTGCTTGCAACTGTTCATCACTAAACACATCAGAATATTTTATAATTTATATTTCACTTGTTCATTACACGGGCATCAACACAGTCAATTTTCTTTTGTTGTATCAATGCAGATTTAAACAAAATCAAGAAAGTAACACACTTAAAGAAAGCGTAAGCAAACTGTTGTTGTATGGTCACAGAAGTTATAAATGGCACTCTAAATTATGCCTTCTTGTATGTTTGAATGACTTACTGCTGTGGTAGGTTTAAGAAAAATGTATTAAAGTTGCTTTCTCGATGCTTTACAATCTCAAGGCTAAAAATGACTTAAATTAACGATTATTGAAATTAACAGAAATTTGTTGTCATCATTAGTTTGTAGTTTTCTAATCTTACAGTAGAGAATGTTTTTTCCATTGTTATGTATACATTTTTTTCTCACCCATGTGTGCATGACTTAATGACAATTGGCTGTGGATCGTGAGACGAAGAAGAGAAGGGGAACTGTTGGGGGGTTGCTCAGGTTGCATTAGCTTGGTACTCATTATCACGTGATAGGCCTTACAGTCAGCATCTTGCAACACAGCATGACTGAAAAAGTCTTTATTGTTTGTAGATTTCGAGGATTTAAGAGGAAATTGGTTTATGTGTCTGACTTTTCCCACATCTCAGAAGAGAAAGTAAAGAATCTCAGCAACAGAAATTGCATTTTTTTGATTGTAAAATATAAATATAGCAAAGTGTAGATTTTATGGCAATAACAGTCCATATTCATGCACATCTAGGAATCCCAATTTTTAACATTGAGATTACACAGAAACAGTTACTTTTTGTAGTTTAAAAACTGCTACTTCATAACTTCAAAAGTTGTACTGCTAAAATTAAACCATGCATACATTATCTGCAAGGTTTTGTCACAAACTCTTTTACTGTATTGCACAAATATATAGAATCATATAATCATCTGTTAATTTGATGACATTTAATGAGAAAAATTAAAAGTAGCCATGGTTAAGACTAAGTTCTGCAGCCCCTTTTTTTTTTGTATTTAACTGGCAATCTAATTAATTAAGACATGATGGTTTGCCTTTAAATTTGAAATAATTTTGTCTTTTCTGCAGTACCGAGCTTGGTTAGAGTCCAGTTTCCACCCAAGTCCTTTCAAAGACCAGGAGCAAGTGGGTGTGCTGCTGAGCCAGTACACAGAACAACAGGAAAGCCAGAGAAGAGGAGTGGACAATCGCTGGTCCAGTCATAGACGGGAAGACTGTGCTTTGCCCAATGATGATGATGATGATAATAACGATGAAGATAAGAGCTGAACTGCCACCACGACACTGTCACTTTAACATTGCTATCTGCAGAAGATTGTACCCCCTTCATTACCCCTTTATTCAGCCAAAGCCAATGTATGCATTCTTTGTTCACTTAGAAAAGTTTTAAAAACTCTGTTTATACCACGAATATATGAGTATATCATTAGGGTATTGGTCTTTTCACAGGCGCCTTAACACCTTAGCTATATTATATCACAAGTACTTCCAGCTTGGAAACTTTAAATTAATGTATAGTGATTTTTACATTTAAGAAATGTTTACCTCTGCTGTATTGATTGTTTTTTTTTAAAAACACTCTTACTAAAATGTCATTATTGAAAAGTGGACATATAGCCATACGAGTCATATTTCTATTTTTGTTACGCTAGTTGTAAATGTAATTGTTTTTATGTGACCTAAGCTGCCATAAAGAAAGCTGCCTCAAATGTAGCACAATAATGCAACATTTGATTATGTTTGTGGACAAATAAGAAGTAAACAGTGTCTGAAGGTTTGTGTTTTAGAAATGCTTTAGTCTTCCTGAACAATGCACATGCAATTCTTATTGTTTTGTCCTGATGGGAAACTGTATACAATGTGTTTTGGCAATAATAAAAAAGAGGCACACTAGTATTCTTTAGCTGTGATACAGTCTCTGTTGTTTGTTGAGATGTCTGTACATTACACTGCAAATTTTTTAGATTATACATGGGTGGTACATTTAGAATCAGGTTATGACTTAAATAAGAAAGGCAAGTGTGTAATTTCTAACCAACATTTTGATTTGATTAGATTGCATTGGATAGACTCTTTATAAAGCAGCTCAGTTTTCCAGTGAAACACCCTGCTTCTACACTTTGATTTAGAGCTGGTCAATATGGTGATAAAAATCAAATTGTGATCTCATACCTATCACAATCTGCGATTGTGATCAAATCATCATATCGTGATTCTGTTTTCTCTTACATGCAACTCTGCTCAAATAATGAGCCTTTTTCCCACCCACATGTCCTATTGGACATACTTTGGAATGTTTGAGTGAGTGGCAGGTGCATTTAATTGAACTGCAATCAAGCGTAGAGTTTCATAAGAAACTGGATGACTTAAGTTACCTCTTTAAGGCAATGTAAATATACCGGCTATACGTGAATTGTAATTAAAATTGTGATCTGGCTCCAGGAAAAAATTGATATTCCTTTTTTTTTTTTTTTTTTGACATATTTGTAAAATATATTTTCGGGGTTTATAAAGAGTGTTCAATTACTCCTTTTTCTAAACTAATCTCAAATTGAGTATGTTTGCACAGGATGCTGTACTTTTTTCTTCCTTAGAATGGGTGTGGGTGGGGGTCGTAAAAAAATCCCCAAAACAAGAGCGTGTGACTCTTCTAAGATATTTGGTATTTATCTGCGTAGTTTAAGCGTGGGTAGCAAGTTTACAACCTAAACCCGTGTCAGGCCATTTCTTGTAAATGCCCACGATTAGAAGAACTCTTCCGTGATGGGTTGGCGTTGGGAAGCGTCTGTTTGTTGATTGGTCAAAGTAAAGCTCGTTGACAAATCACCTCCATGGCATTTCATTCATAACAGAGATGAGAAACTTCTAGCGTGTAGTGTCTGCGGCGCGATAATTAGGAATAAATCTTTCATCGACTCATTGGACAACAATTGCTATTTATCCGACAAAATAGTAAGTTTGTTAAGAAACTTGCCGCGCGCCACTCAGGAATACATCTTTCAGTGACTCACTGGCCAACAATTGCTATTTGTCCGACAAAATAGTAAGTTTGTGATAAATTTTGGCCTATAATGTATTATTATTATTATTATTATTATTATTATTATATATGTTTTTAAATATGATCAGGCTTAAAATATGTTGTATGTATGTTTGTTTTTGTTTTGTTTTTTAGATTCGCACATCAAGTGAAATGTCGCACTGTGGAGGTCGCAGACTGAAGCAGTGGCTGATGGAGCAGATCCAGAGTGGACAGTACTCTGGGCTGCAGTGGGAGGATGAGAACCGCACCATGTTCCGAATCCCATGGAAACACGCTGGAAAACAGGATTACAACCAAGAAGTAGACGCCTCCATTTTTAAGGTCTAATAACAGCGTAATTGTGTTGATGCCGAGCATGACATGAGCACAGACAAATAGTCTAATAAATGTAATAAATAACAAGTATTTTTGTGTGTGTTCATAGGCCTGGGCTGTTTTTAAAGGAAAGTTTAAGGAAGGGGATAAAGCTGAACCAGCAACATGGAAGACCAGACTTCGCTGTGCGCTCAACAAAAGCCCAGACTTTGAGGAGGTGACTGAGAGATCTCAGTTGGACATCTCTGAGCCTTATAAAGTTTATCGTATTGTTCCAGATGAGGAACAAAAAAGTATGCAGAAGATGTAATTTATGCAATATTTTTATTATCACAAATCTACTTATAACATGAATGTATTTTTACAGCTGGTAAAAGCCCACTGATTCCCATTCCTACCACCACCTCTGGTGATATGACAGACATAGACTGCAGTCCTGGCGCAATGGATGATTTCATCAAAGAAGTGAGACAGTAATTCTGTGTTTTATGCTTGTAGTATTATCTTGATTTTCACAGATTTAAAGATGTAAACAAAATGTGTATTTGTTTTGTTTGTTTGTTTGTTTTTTCTGAAGGAAGATGCTTGTAACATCCAGTCCAGTCCAGAGTATTGGTCTCAGAGCACCATTAACTGTGAGTTATATGTTATTTGTTTTGTGTATTTCACAGTTGCGCAGCTGCTAAAATGTCATTACACATATTTTACCCCTGATGCCATATTATTGTGGGATGACATTTGGTTTCTTTGGGGAGTCTTTGGCTGGAAGAATTGACAAACATCCTGTTTAACATTGCTGACATCAGATTATTTTTATGTAATCGTGCTGAAGCTATGGACTTTTGATGATGCAGCAAAATAATGGCATGACATGTGGTCAGTGATGGTTTTTCTGTATCTTGCTGTAGCTTATCCTCTCCATCAAGATCCTCTGCCGTCAGGGACTGTGGTCTCAGGTGTGTGTTATTGGTCTATTTCCTCGGTTCACTTTTTATTGTCAGTATTTTCTCTAATGTGTTTTTTTTCCCCTTTACAGCTTTTGCTCAGATGATGATCTGTTTCTACTACAGTGGAAAGTTGACTCATAGCACTGTGGTCAGTCATCCTGAAGGCTGTCGGATCTCTCCTGGACAGCAGCATGTGAGCCGAGGCACCCTGTACAGTTCTGACTCAATGCAAAGTGTTCATTTCCCCCCTGCTGAGCTCATAGAGCATGAGCGCCAGCGCTATATTACACAGAAGCTGCTGAGCCACTTAGAGAGAGGGGTGTTGGTGAGGGCCAACCAGGAGGGCATCTTCATCAAGAGGCTGTGCCAGAGCCGAGTGTTCTGGAGTAGCCTGGGAGAGGCTTACACCGCTGTGCCCCGTAAACTCCAACGAGACGCAGTGGTCAAGATCTTTGACACAGGAAGATTCTTGCAGGGTAAGGCTCGTATAAATAAATAAATAAAACTTATTTTTATTATTTATGACCCAAATAATATGCAAATATGTGTAAGGGACACCTTCAGGTGAGTCTTCCTATTGACTTTCGTATTTTTGTCTGTCATTTCAGCTCTGCAGATGTATCAGGAGGGACAGTTTCCTGCCCCAGAACCCACAGTCACTTTGTGTTTTGGAGAAGAGCTCCAGGATCTTAATAATGCCAAGAACAAACTTATCATAGTGCAGGTAAGGCTATTTACTGCCTCCCCTTACTCAGTGGGAAGAACTATGTTTTTTATGGTTATATAGACCAACAATTTGTCTGGGTTGCAGATTACAATGGTAAATTGCCAGCAGTGGATTGAAGCAGTGAACATGCGTCGAATGCAGTGTTATGGCACTAGTACAAACATGGAAATGTCCGAGGACGTCACCTCTGAGCAGGTGGCTCACATCTACCAGGACCTGTGCAGCTATGGTGGCCCTCAGAGGACATCCTGCTATAGGGACAACATGACCATCACCGCCTAAACTGGTAGTGCTAGAGTTGGACACAACACTGACTGTTATTCGCCATCTTATAACCAACACTGGGAGTGATAGAACCTGTTAACACAGAATGGTGTACTGTCATCTAGACTCAGTCATTTTAATGAACCAACATCTTGAGATACATGTCCAAATGTATGAATAATTATGTTCTTACACCTTTGATAGTGTTACTGCATCTGAACTGTGAGGTGGAACAGGTATTTAGTTCTCATGGATCAATTCTGTTTGATAAGCATAATGTTGTAGCTGTTGTTTGTGCAGCATGGCCGCCCGCTTGAATCCAAAGCAGATTTAGGTTGTTATGTTAACTTTGTTTTTGTTAACGTTCACATACAAAATGATCAAATTCCTGAAATCAAATCTAATGTGGCATTAAATTAGGATAGGTTTTACTATCTGGTTGTTTTTATTGCTAATTTTTATACAGTACTTTTGTAATAAAAGTTTGAGAAAATACTTTTTTTCATTTTCTTTATATTAGAGAAAAACAAATGTATTCAAAAATGCAATTGTACATGCTATAAACATTTCCAACATCATTAGTTAAAAATCTGACAGAAAAATGGAACAAGAATTTAGTAACTCTCCAATAGTGAGTCACTAGAGAAGTGTATCTGTTGTCCTTGCAGATAAAAAAAAAAAATCTACTTCTAAAATCTTCTAGTTTGTTGAAGTGGGCATATATACTGCATATACCCTTTTAGCCAGCACAAACTGGACACATTTATTGTGATTTTTTTATATTGTTTAGTATAGCTATTTTGAATAGCATATGTACTGCCCTTTTATGTGTGGCTTCCAGGTACATTTAACTCCATTTTAAATGAAGACAATACAAAGAAAATTGAGCTGATCACTTTATGGTGTTATAGAAAGCAGCTCAAAAACTTTTTCATAAGCCCTGTTTCATTATTTTAAGCTATGTTTGTGGTTCTGTACTTCATTTTGATAAATAGTAAAGTTATTCAATTAGCACCTTTTTAGCATTTTAAGTTTCTTTCTTTGAAGAGATAAACAACATAATTACAATAATATCTTAAATATGCAGGGGACAATTCACTCTTCTATATGATGTGAAATTTCATTTTCAATTCACCATTTTATCTCAAATTCATGTAAAATTAGTTGGCATTTCATATTCATAATTATATAAACAAGACATGCAAGAAATACTGAGAGGAGAGCACAGAGAATTTCAGTTGTGTAATTTGTTGCAGGAAGTGTACAGTGATAACTTGCTGCCAATGTGTCTGAGATGCGGTGTCCTTAAATTGCAACATGTTGTTTGTGGCGTCTGAGGCCTCCCACAATAAAGCTCAGCAATGATTGACCAACAGCAGTGATGGTGCCGCCCCGCAAAGCCAGAGAAAACATGTAGTTCAAGTTCTTCAGGGAAACTGCACTGATTTCAAGAATCACCACAATGAATGTGAAATGAAGAAGTAAGCCCAACTAACTAATTAATTCAGCTAATAAACCTAATTAACTTAATTAATAATCGATAAAAAAGGTTTCTTCCTTCAAATGAATAGCCCAGCAGTAGTGAGTAATATGATAGTCTAGTCCTATTTATAAATTTAATTTTTTTCAAAGCTGTTGTTTTCAATCATTCTAAAAGTGAATGTGGTGGATGGTGCATGTTAGCTTTAACAACTACTGATCTGACTGCAATGATCCTCAAAAGGCCTGTGGCAGCGGTACGTGCACTACAGTTTGGGAAACACCATCTCAAAATATACTACTAGATCGGGCATTGAAGACAACATTGTACTTTTAGCATTTAGTATTTCACATTTTATTCTTTGTGAAGCTCAATATTGATCTAAAACAGTTTAATAATAGAGATGAATGGGTACATTGACTTCCTCTTCAAAGAACTGGCATGTCACCACAGCAAGCACAAGATTTTTTGTTTGTTTGTTTTTATTGTTGAAAAATGGCTATGTTTTGTGAATAACTGCAATTGAAAAAGTGGGATGAGGGAACACTGTTATAACATGGTCCAATGACAGGTCATCTTTAAGTAGCGTATTTTATTCCTAGATTCAATAATTTATTGTCATTGTCAAAAGTAACAAGAGACATTAGAGCATCAAGCGATGACACTACACAGATGTAGTGTCTGTTTAGTAGCAGAGCCCAAAAGCTGTGAAACAATTGTGTTTTAATGAAGATTAGAATAGGCATTTTAGAGGAACTGTGAATGGACAAACATGTGGACAGGGATTCCACTATAGAAAGGTAAACCACAGCGCAAGACCTAGATCCTCTCCAATGGTATCACTTCATACCAATTTTGGTTGAGATGTTCACTTAAATATAAGATAACAAGAAAATAGTTTGCAATAATGTATGCTCACCAATGCATCCACTGATTGTGTGAAAAATAATATTGTAAAGGCCAAACAAATATGCATAATAGCAAATAATTAACAATTTATTTGCGTCTGTTATCTGACTTATTCATAATGCAACACATAACTAGTTCAGTGAAGAACAGATGATTGTGTTGAAGATTGTTGTGGTTATGAGGTTACACAAAAATTAAGTTAAGTGGAAAATCTCATGTTATGTCTAGAAATCTTTTTACAGCCCAAGTTGTTCTTTCATATACAATGAAGATGTAACTTTTCCCTGATGTTTTAGTTTGCTCACCTTTGAGAATGTTGGCTGCATATCTAGTTGTAGCTGGGTAAGATTAACAGAAAAAGTGTGTTCTGTGATAGGAGTGATCCCTGAGCACCTGATACTTCTGGACAGGAAACCCGGGGGATGATCCGGCAAAAGTTCTTCTAAAAAAGAGGAAGATCACATGGGCCTGTTGTGAATAAGAATCATTTAACAGACACACACAAAAAAAAATGTAATAAGCTGTAAAATGAAAGTTTTTGTGGCCAGATGTATAAGTTGCAGCTATAAGTTGACCGAAATGTGCTTAAAAATAAGTAAGATCAGATCAGATTAAACTCTACAAATATATTTGGACAAATCAAACTTTATTTCCCTAAATGACACCGATCAAAATTAATCTAGTTAATATTAGTTTCATACCTTGGAATTGTATGTGACTATTGTAAATTTCTATACCTCTTCACATGACTAATTAGATAGTAGGGTAAAGGTGTATGCGGTCCCTTATGCAATTACTGATTTTGTTTGTCAAATACATCACAGAACATAACACACTGGGTAAACCTTTTTTCTATGTGCATTTTCATCTGAAAGAATTATATTATTCATGGCTAATGGCTCTTTTGAACACTCTTAAATGTTTCATATTCAGAAAAACAAAACTTAAGAGTAGAGAGATGAGAGTGAAGGTAGGGGAAGGCCGAGCAGGTCGCTGTCCCTGGGGAAACTCAATAGATCTCACAGCTCACTGCTCATGAATCTATGTGCGTGAAAACACCCAAACACACATGATTGTGGCAGAGAGGATGTACAGAACATTCATTTGAAAAACCATAACAAGCAAGACAACAGAGCAAAACTGCCTAAATTTGCAACATAATAACTCTGCTTCCATGTAAGTTTGTCACAGTGTATTTGAGTAAAACATTTGGTTCTCCGTTAGTGTTTGGGGAACAAGATCTTTGTGGTTTCACACCTTGTTTCTAACTATACCATAATGCTGACTATAGAAGCTTTGATTACACAACCTTTAGCATGAGACCACACGTAGCGGTGAGGCACAGGTGCCGCAGGGATGAAGGATATTTTTAAAGCTTGTCTAAAATGGCCCCAGTGCAGCTGAGGGAGTCTGTGGGGCAGGCTCTACAGACCGCATGCTTCAGTAGAAAGTCCACTGAGAATACATAGTTCCTACTTTAAAAACCCACAACAGGAGCATCACATGTCTTAGGTGGAATTACCTGGTAAAATAGCTATGCTTCTGTAACTGTTGGAAAAAACATTTGTCATCTTTATTTACTTGTTTGTTTCTTTCTAAGGCAAAATATATATTTTAAAGATGAAATGTATTGTTAAAGGTACATTGAAGTGTTAGGGGGTTCACCTGCCTGTTTTCATTAAAATGATTTGCCTGAAATGTTCCACAGTATCTTGCATTTATGTATATACAGTTGTTTTCCTTTGCTTAAAATACTTGTAAAACATGCATTCTCTCAGTGAGCTAGGTTTCCTCACCACAGATCTGGGGTCTCATTTATGAAATCTATGTACGTACAAAAATGTTATGTATGTGATAGCTTGACATGAAAAGGAGAGGTCCAGTTCAAAACCTTTGGCAGTCAGGACTCTTAAGAGATGAGACAGAAAGGCGTGCTAGAAAGAAGAGTAGTGAGAAAGTTTGAGGAAGTTTTTGGAAGTCTGTGATTTGCCTGTGTATATCTTAGTAAGAATTCCATAAATTTTCATAAATGAGACCCCTAGCCTGTAACTTGTCACCTGCTCAGTGACCATTTATGCAGCCATACTGTGGAACATTTCAGACAAAGACTCACACCTTCACAATGCGTATTCTCTACCAGAACAACTACATAGTGTATTTTTATGTCACTTTGAAAAGACTACTATGATATTAAAACAGATACATTATTTATATATTCACATGTGTGTTAGACAAAATAAGAAAATTACACTGTAAAAATAATACAAAATTAGAAAAGAAGTAGCCAACTGTAAAATCAAAAGTTTAACAATAGAAAGTGCAAGAGGGAAAATCCCACTTATGTAACACAGGGTAAAGAATGCACTGATGTAATATAGTGTTAGTGTTGAAAACAAGTAAAGTAAAATATACATTAATACATTTAAAAAAATAATAATAAAATAAATAAATAAAACATAAAACTTAAACACGTGTTACCCGAGTGATCAGTGCCTGCATAGCTCACGAATTTAATGAAGAATCTGATTTAGCGTTATAGTGCCATCTGGTGGCTATACAAGGGTACATCATATATCACTTTCAACTAATTTCTATTTTAACAGCAACAGACAAAACAACTTCTCAATGCAGATAGTACTCATATGCTAACCTCTCAACCAGTCACATGTAGTCTAAAAGGGCATTTAGGATTCTGAGTATAATATAATAGCCTCTATTATAATAGCCTATATAATAATATAATGATAAACTTCTTTATAGGTTTATTGTCCCTAACACATCCTTGTCTTAGTATAATCAAATAAGTCAGACTAGACACATAAAGACATATTGCAGTGGAAAATTAAGTAAATTACAGTTGAGCACAAAGCTAAAATCTAACAGGAAAGCAGTCAGATAAGATCAAGAAATTTCACTGGAGTTCATTTGAGAATACACAGAAGGAAGCCACACTCATTATGGTTTGTGGACCTTAACATGGGCTATCTCCTCCATCCCCTGATCTACTGAACTACTCACAAATGAATCTGCCATCAAAATATGTTTGCAAATAAGGAGAACTACAGAAGTCATCATTATAAAAAGTAGGCTATGTGTCATCATACATTTCAGAAGTAGGCCTATGATCAGTGTGGGTGTTGTGTTGGTCATCGCTTCATTGTGTAATCGCTATTGTGTTGTTCAGGTAATTAATCTGATTAATAAGTGCAGACATGTATAACAGTGAGTATATTAAAACTGAATATATGAACATGAATTGTACAAGTACTGTGAGAAAATGCTTTAAGAGTTATTTTTAAATTATCTTGAAAGTGAAACTGACAATGTTCCTGGTTTAGGGATGTGAGAGTACTATGGTAAACTTGAATGTTTCACTTATATGGGGCTTTTTGTAAGAAGATTCAAGAAGGAATAAGTATTAATACTTATTCTTTTTGTTACATCTTATTATAATCCAGCAGCAGGGTCAGAATGTCTCTGACCCGCCCTGAAAAAATTAAGAGCCTTGTGTTAGGAAGTGCTTTCAATACATCTATGGCAGAGTGTATATTTAGTCAGCCATTAATTAATTTCCAAATTAAAAACAGAAACTTTATAGGGCCATAGATTTTAAGTCATTTAGTCGATTAGTGGCACTGTGGTGTTTTAGTTTCCCCCCAAAAAACCCCAAAAATAAGGATTTGGGAGTGATGTTTATTGCACATTTTTGCATGAAATCCTGTGAGCTTGTGATCTTGCGAGAGCAGGTTGGGTCAGATATTTAGGCAGATCATACAGATAAATTCACATCACACCTCCTTTTAGACCAAGAATTGATGCACAGAGTATAGTCGACAAAGTATGTCTTTAGTCGACAAAGAATGTCTTTAGTTTCCCTAAAAGTTTAAAATATGCTTAATAAAATGGATCAATTTATATAAGCAATACTTAATTCCTTTTAAGTGAATACACTTGGTGAATATTACCCGTGTAGTCACACTGTAGTGGAGCATGGAGACCCTAACTTACTTTATTTTTGGCTGCACTATAAACGGCTTGACTCTTGGACAGAAGACAGCTGCGAGTGCAAGATTTACTCGTCTGAGCTCTTGAGGCTCTTCATCGCATCCTGGATCCCAAAGAGAGAGAGAGGGAGCAGATATGCCCTCAGCTTCTCCCTCGGGGTGAATTACGATTTCCCGAGTCGAGCCAAACCCGGGGAAACATTGTGAGTGGTCATCCATCAGCCTGGGTGTCTGCATCCTCCTGAACAATGTGTGACCCCTGGGCGCAAAGAGGGTCACATGAGGGGCGACTTCCACCTCCACAAGCACAGGCGGGTACTTAGAGTGCACACACTGCCACACCCACAGATACTAGTTTACTTCTGAACATTATATAGGCCTAATCATGCAGAGGTATTCTTATGTAGGTCTCTGTGCTTTGAGATTGTAACAGTGTTTTGTTTGTGTTTTCTGGGGTGCATAGCTGCATTCTTTGTTACACTGCTGACTTTTTCATTACAGTATATTTTTCTTGAAGCAGTAGGCCTACCCAAATTGTATGCCTTTAAAGTGGTCAAAACAGCTATAATTTCTCATTTTCAGTCTCATTTTGTGAGATTAGCAAACTCCAAATTTGGGGAAAGAATTTCAAAGAAGAAACATAATTTAGTTCTTGATTAAAGCACAGTCATTTTCACCATAATGTGCAGCTTACCTTTAAAAGCATGATGCAGTCTTTAATTTGACTTTTGACGTAAAGAGCTGTGACCACTAGTCGAGTCATCTGCACTGGCTATTGCTTGGTGATGCAGTAGTGTAAGTGGCAGCAGGAGATGGGATCTGTCTGAAACCTGACAGATCTGGCTTTAGTCTGTTCCTAGACCTCCTACACGATCTCCCAAGTGTTTACTGTCCTCGAGGCCTACTCCTCACGCTCCTCCCATCAAAAATCCTTCATCTCAAACAGACCACACGCACAACACTATTGTGAGTGTGCATCATCACAAAATTAATGCTAAAATCTTACAAATACTTTGGCGTACTGAGCAATAAGCAAATTAAATTAAATTAGTTTAAAGAAGTGGGCTTACTCTACTGAGGTTCTGTGATTGGCTGTCTGATCATTAATCTGGGCCTAAACAACATGGCGGCAATCCTGACCGTGGAGGCAGTGAACCCATGGGAGAAATGACTGTAGCGCACAAAAGTAAGAAAAACTTAAACTTTTCAAGGTGCAGACAACATAATGCCAATTGAAAATGTAACAGTGTGTGTTTTAACGCGTTACCCAGGTGGAGATATCGTATTCTTGTCATGTGACGTGAACGGGACACCACATTACAACCAATGGCAGTATGAGGTAAGATCGATCACCCTTTTAATTTGTGATTTAACTTGAACAAGTTGAATTGAATGAAGTAGCTATAGCGATTGTGTAGTGGGCTACCTGTAGTATCCAACTTTTTTTTTTCAGAGTAGGCTACCCTCTTGTTTCACACTCAAATCTGTAGTCTATTAGGGTTATATTCTTAATTACTGTGATATTTTATTGTATTCTTGTAATATTATTCAATTATATTATCATATATTATATGTGCTAAAATTATCCAACATAAACATTGTCAAGAATGTAATACACTACAAATAACTACTAACCATGGTTATCATATCACCTACCTAAGGTAATAATTATCTTTACAATTACCATCAGATCTAAACCCAAAACATGGTCTTAAATTAAACTAAATCATGGATTTGGTACTTCTAAATATATAATAATTATCCCAAAAGATGAAAAAACATTAATAGATTTGTCTCTAAATAAAACAAATCCTCAAACTGCAGAGGGTCCAATGTACCACCAGAGACAGCCCATGTACCACAGTTTGAGAAACAGTAAAGGGCCACACTAAACCCTTTTCTGACCTCACCTGCGTCATGCTCATCTTTAAGTGGTGTCTTTAGCAAAGGAATGGCCTCTCATTACACATGCAATTTCCTGTAATAAAAGAACAGAGATGATGAGGCTGGAACAGGCTGATGCCACACTGTGATAGCTCGTCATGAGGGAATAGTCCATGCCCACTAATCTTGATAAACTCACAACTCAACACACATATGTGCATTTATGGAACAGTATTTACATAAACGTTGTGTGAGAAAATGCCCATTTGAAGCCTGCAACATGGAGATAAATTGAGCTTTTAACTTGAAAAACAGGAAGTAGCCCACAGCTATTGGGCTGTTTATCTGCCATTACTCACACACTGCAGCACTAGGTGCAAACTGACTCTAATCATAAGTCTACTCTGACCCTAGAGTTGAACTTGTCTCTGCTGACCTTTCCCACATTAACACATTACAGGAGCAATCTGTGGAGCTCCAGACTTAGACTTAGACTTAGACTTAGACTTAGACGAACTTTATTGATCCAAAAGGGAAATTATTTGGACACAGTAGCTCACACATCACGATATATTATAATAACAAAGAGCAAAAATGGTAATAGTAAAAATTGTAATAATAAATTCAAAATAAGTAGCAAAAATAACAGAAGACTGGTGTCAAATAAGGCACAACTATATAAATGTATATGTACAAGCTAAAATATAAAAAAAAATAGAGAGAGAGAAATATAGTAATACAAATATATTTCTCAGCAGGTTAATAATTTACACCTTGAATTTAAAATTCTCTTTTCATTATTATTCAGTCAGTTTTAGATCTGAGTAGAGGTTGAATTATTTATAGCATCATGAATGCTGTACTCAAGATAACAAATTTGAGAATCAGGCCTAAAATGTCTCATAATGCTACAAATATAACTGATTAAAAATGCTGTAAACCTCCAAATAAGGCTTTCTTTTGTGGATCATTTTACAGTCATTTCTTATCTGTCTGATACAGTTAAAGACAAGTTCTGTTCTGTTTGGTTGCCAATATATCTTATGATTTGTTATCAAGATACTCAAGTAATTTAAAGATATTCATTTTTGTCAATGTCGCCATTCCTTTCTTTGTTGTTAGATTTAAACTGTGGTCACCTTGCTCAATGATAGAAAGCCCCACTTGAGCAAATCTTTAAATCATATTAATTCAAGTTGCAGCAATACAGTAGAGCACCTAAGCTGAGGTATCAAGTGACTAAAATGTCACTTAGTTGTCATTTAAATGTTATTGTATGATATCACTATATTTTAAGTATGTCTATTGCTGAGTCTAGAAGTGGGCAATATTCTCAGTAGCATTTACTCAAGTAGTATTTCTTTGAATAACCTTTTCAGGAGATTATCAAGAAGTTTTATGTTGATGATGACAATATAAATTTTTTGTTTTTTGTTTTTATTACTCCACTTCTAGGGATACAATGTATCAAATTGGGGGTATCCTTTGAAAATACCATATTTTGTATATTAATTGGCTTCCAGTTACAGTAAGTTCAAATTGTAAACCAGATGTTATGTCAAGCCCGTTACATACAACATATTTACAATTACTCTCAAGCAAGTTAGTTAGTATCAGTGAGTCATACTTGAACAATCTTAAGCTCAAATCTCATCATAGAACAGAAAATACCCAAAACGCTCAAACTAGTACAAAGGAAAAGTATGTACAATAAATATTAACCCCCCAAAATAATTGTTGCATCCATCATGTATTGGACGATAAATACATTTTTGGCAATTCGGTCAGTAACTACTACTCCATGTGTACACACTATTCCATGTGCTATTTTAGTGGCACTTGTTCAGTGCAGATCCAACTATCTCGGCTGTCGTCTCTGTACAAATGGTAACTGTTCATCAGAATATGTGTGTTCCCCTATGTTTCTTCGTCTGCTCTCTTGTCGGCCAAGTGTTGTTCAGACAGTGCGCCCAGTGTAGAAAGTGCTGGCCTTTCTTGGACATGGGCTCCTCCATAAGATCTTCCAGACCTGATTCAAATACTGTCACTGAAGACAGATGAAGGCTCCATTTAGCTCTGTGCAAGTCGTCTCTGTCTTGCTCTGTTCTTAGGGGGAAGTAGAGATAGAGCGGCGGGTGGAAAGTGAAAATAAACCTTTAGCATAGAAGGAGCGTCGCCTACACAGTGGTTTTGTTTTACCAGAAAGAGTCAGAGAAGTTGGAAGATGTGACATTTTGCTAATATATTTTTATTTGCAACGACTGTGTCAATAGTGACTCATGTCTACTTCGAGTGCTTTACTCCCTTTAGCTGACGTGGTTATGGTTGTCACGGAAGAAGACAAAGCTGTATTGAGCAGGGCCTCCCATGTCTGTCTGCCTCCTCCTCAGACCACTGTTGGTTTAACCCTGGTGGGCAGCAGGGAGACCCCACAGCACCCAGACACTATCATGTGATTTATGAAGAGCTCCCAAAGAGTGCAAGAGATGACCACTCAGATGTGACCTCTGCAGTCTTATCTGCCACTTTTCAAGAGACAGGACACACTCACATTTTAGTCACGCATTAAGCAAGAAGAAATAGTGGTATTTTCTGACGTATAAAAATGGCATGATGCAATCACAACAGGCTATAAAACATCTTTCAGTTTCTGCTATTTTGTATGATTCACCTTTTATTTTCAGTTTTTATTTGTCATAGCACTATCAGTAAACAATCATACAATAAACATATGGCTATCATTGTTAAAGCTTTAAAGCATAATCCAAATCTTTCAATATTTCAACATTGAACAACATTATATTTTATCTTTTATTTGGTAAATTCTGATGTCAGTGGAGACAGGGAAGTGGTTGATCAGTGACTTTTTGAAACTGCAATAAAGTGTTTGTCCCATAGAGGGAGTCCTACACAACACAATTAAATGTCTACTTGGACTGGCAGTGTATAGACATATTCAGAATTATCTTTCATTGCATGGCTAAAATAAAATATATAAAAATAGAAGATACAGTATATTAAACTATAAGGCTTTAATACTTAATTAGTATCATAATAGACCAAAATGCTTCTAATTTTGTTCAAAGCAATACTGTACCTGGTGGTTTCATATACAGGCCAAAGAAAAGAAAAAAATTTTCCACCGACTTGACCTCAGAACATCTTAAAAAAACAATCACTTTGGGTTTAAGGTGATGTGATCTATTTCTGCTGCTATGACACACTGCGGTTTCACTGGAAGGAGGAGAGCATCCCAACTTTACAATGAAAAGGGCCACACAGACAGCAGTGGGCAGAGCAACTGTTCAACACCAAAGACTCAAAACACAAGTGACACAAGGGAGATCAAAGAACACTATCACGTGTGGTACATACTTTTAAATATAGCTCTCAAACCGAAAACATTAAAAAAAAAAATCTCAGCAGATTGAATACCAAATTGTGTGGGAGCAGCTCTTCTGTAAAAGTGATCCTGACATGAAGACACTGAACAGATAAAACTCGTAAACCGTGAAGCACACACATCAGATTTGGCCAGAATCAGTACAAGTCTAAAATCTCTCTACTCACTGAGTGAACTTATGTATATGAGCCTGGCTTATCTTGTGGAGCATTACTTATATTGCTAAACAGAGATCAATTAGCCTAAGTCTGTGGAGGGCAGAGCTCACCCACACACTCCTATTTCCAGATCCATATCCTCCTGCATTAGCCCATTCGGCAGTGGATTAGCCTCTGAGGCCTCACGAGTCTCTAGTGCTACAACAGCCCTCAAGTACACACGCAAATACATGACAATGTAACACCCTCATAGAAGTTGATACATTAGACAAACTTTATTGATCTAAGGGAGACACTGTAGCTCACACATTACAACAATAATAAAGAACAAAAAAGTACATGGTAATAAAATTCTAAATAAGTCAAATATACAGATTGTATATGTACAAATCACATAAAATAAGAGTAAAGATGATAAAGATATGATATAAATCAATGAGGCATTATAAAACATATATTACACATTTTTTATGTAAAAAATAAGCACATTAGGTTGAACTTTATTGCATATTATTGTATGTACTTAAAAAATCAACAAAGTATTAAGCTTTACTTAGTAATTGGGATGTTCCAATATAGCTTTTTTCCCCATCTGATATCCAATATTTGACTTGCTGTTGTGGCCAATAACTAATGTTTGATATCTTTGGTATAAGGCCCACACACTGAAGTCAGTTGGTAGTGAGGATCACAAATTATTTTATCCCTTTTGTAACAATTATAACAACAAATCTTGGATTTAATATACTGTAATTTGTTGTTCTTGTTAGGATGATTGTGTACACATTCTTATCTCTCTAGTTCAATTGCTTCCCTATTTCCATTAGAAATAGAAAATAAAAACAAGGATATTGACTATTCCTACTTAGAAAGATTTATACTCATGCTTTAAAT